ATAGGGCACAAGTTGTCTTCATTTTACCAGTTGAGACTGTTACTGTTGTGAATGGTCCCGTGCCTTGAGGCAGTGCTAAAGCCTCTCTCTTGAATACGACGTTTTTAGCGACTCTGATGAACTCTGGGACCACTGCAACAGTGGCCCTGCTCCGGGATGGTATCGAGCTGGTTGTGGCAAGCGTGGGAGACAGTCGTGCTCTGCTGTGTCGAAAGGGAAAGGCCATGAAACTCACCATTGACCACACTCCAGAGAGAAAAGAGGAGAAAGAAAGGTACTTGGCGGCTGATGATGTAGTTTCCCAGGGAAGGGCCTTGGTCAGGATGTGTTCGTGTTCTGCTGCTGGGTTGGGCCTGGAAAAAAGCAGGGTGGTGAATATAATGCCCCGAGACCATCTCTGAGCCAGCAGAAAGTGGCACAGCTCCAGTCAATGCATTTGGTTCTGTTTAGAGGACTGGGGATTTGGAAAGCCCTGCATAAGTGTAAACTGTCTAGGCAGTAAGCTCAGGATAGCTAGGACTCGGGGACAGAGCCATGGCCTCATGGTTCAGGCTTGTCCAAGGCTGCCAGGTCAGAGCCAAGACCAGAAGAAATGCACTTATGGTTCCCCGGTCAGGACTCATCTCACCAAACCACATCCCTTCTGTGGAGGAGCCCTTCAAACAGCAAAAGCCAACCCTCAGTCTCCCAGCTGAGCTTCTCCGTACCCCATTCCACATCGGTAGCTAGGGACAGAAATTGCAGATAGAGACGTGGGGGGGGAATGATGTGAAGCTCTAACTCATATTCACTTTTTCTCTTGTGCCTCTGGACAGGATTAGGAAATGTGGTGGCTTCGTTGCCTGGAACAGTGTGGGACAACCTCACGTGAATGGTAGACTTGCAATGACACGAAGCATAGGAGATTTGGATCTTAAAAACAGCGGTGTGATAGCCGAGCCAGAAACAAAAAGGGTTCAGGTAAGAGCAGCCCTGGTGAACAGGGACAGCGGTGTTCAGACTAAGGGGCATCCAAGGCATTTGATGTGGGTGGTGGTACCCACACGATGTGTGCCCAGGCGGAACGTGATGGCCAAGCATTGATTTTTATTTGTGGTGAAGTAACTGGAGACCAATTCTAATTAAGTAATTTCAGATTAACACTAATAGGACAGAAAAGAATCTGGCCCTGATAGTAAATTCAAACAGGATTTAGAAGTTGACCTCATTATCACAGTACACTGTAGGATGATGGAAGAAAGATAACACGTGATAGCCATTACAAAAAGGTGTTAGTCTGTTTGGGGCTTGTGGTAAATGAATAATTTTGAGGTTAATGCTGATACAAAACCATCCCTGAGAACTACGTAGGATATGGATGAACTAAGTCATTGAAAAAAGTATAATTTGTAGAGGTGTGCACACGTGGGAGGAAGGCAGGAGGAAAGAGCAGTTGCATGCATCTTACCATAGCTCTGTAATTGGAAAAGAGATTAACCACCCAGAAGGTATTCAGCAGAGTCTCCTCCCAGCTCATGTTCTGTTTGATACTTTTCCTCAGTGCACCTCCCAGGGCCCAGGGAACTTACATTCTGTTGGTCCTGATCAAAAGCCACCCACTAGGCCTGAGGGGCTTAGGGAGATGGCTGCAGTGCTGTCATGTCTTCCTTGAAGTCTGCAGCTGAAGGAAGCATTTTGTTCACTGGGTAATGTACGGAGCTGGTCTTTTGGCCTCCGTGTATTCAGAGGGCTGCTTCCTAGAACTGGACACACCTTAAGACGCTCTCCTCCCGTACAGGGAACACAGTCTGTGTGGCTGATGGATGCGCTTGAGGATTTAAGGGGCAGCCTCTGGCTAGCCAAGGGTTTGGGGGTTCCAGGTAGTCCTCCTGCAGAAAGCAGGAGAGCACACAGCACTCCTAGAAAAGAGTGCTTTGCAACAGAGGATAAAGATATGAAGGCAGTTACTTGACCTTGCAGCATTCACTCCGTCACTGTGCATCCTGTGTGCCTTTATTGCAGTTACACCATGCAGACGACAGCTTCCTGGTCCTTACTACAGACGGAATTAACTTCATGGTGAACAGCCAGGAGATCTGCAACTTCATCAACCAGTGCCACGATCCTGAGTTGTTACTGAGCAGGTAATGCCAGGGCTTCTCTTGGCACCAAATGCTTGGTGGTGGGTTTTGTTTGGCTTTTTAAAAAAAACGAGTATACAAGCAGACATTAAACAGTGAATTGAACGATGCTGGCTGAGACATTCACTAGTCCCACGGGCCGGCCTTTTCCTTGCCAAGGATGTAGGGATGCCATTTCAATTAACATGCTCAGCTCATGATCCACTGGACTGCGTAACTGCAGCTTACTCCCACGCTGAATATTCCATCAGCGTGGAAACAGCCAGTTTCTCACCGGGGTTCTGGATGATGGCATATCCTATGGAAAGCTCTGGGGTGGTACCGGAGTCTGGAGCATCAGGGCTGGGGACAGGAAGGCCTCAGGGCATACTGTCCCATGGGAAGGCAGAAGTTTGTTTCCTTTTCCAAGCAAGAGGATGATGCTGACTAGTTGTTTCTTCTCTCAGGCAGTGCAATTTGGCACCGAAGACAACAGCACGGTTGTCATAGTGCCATTTGGAGCCTGGGGAAAATACAAAAACAGTGAGATCAACTTCTCCTTCAGCCGCAGTTTTGCTTCCAGCGGGAGGTGGGCGTGAAGACCTGCCCCAGCTATCTTTTCCCGCTGTAACCTGGACACGGTGCGCTACAGGAGAACAATCCATCTGTTCGTAGGTTGACTCTGTGTCTTGTCCATCTCTTCTGTTCCCAGTGCTCGCTTGGTGCGTAATGCCCCATCGTTGCTTACGGCTGATCCCATTTTGCTGCGTTTATTTATTCCAGTCGGCATTGAGGCAGCTAATTCTGTGGGTTTGTAGTCCTGACAGCTCTGTACATCACTTTCTTCACGTAGACAAGGCTCTGGGCTTTCACCTAAGGCTGGAGGTGTTGCACAATTGTTTCAAACCTACTTGTACTACCCAGGACCCTTAGTTACCTGGCAGCTGTGTAAGTCTGAATCTCTGAGCCACATGCTGGCTTCTTGGTATGTTAATACACAGGGGAACAAACGCACAGTGTTCTGAGGCAGACAAAAAGGGAGCTTGTTGTCTTCCTCTGCTGTGCAGCCACCCAAAAAACCCCAGTGCTTCAGGAGAAGCAGGTGAAAACTAAGGGGGATGTTTCAGAAGTTCTGATGCCAGTGACGTTTGGTGTAGCTGAACAACTTCCCGAGACAGTGCTGCTTTGCTCTTACTGCCATCATCCGTGATCCTCTAGCTCCAAGGAGACAGAGCAGGCGGGAGCCACGTGCGTTGGACAGATGGGAATGTCTCTCCCTTGGGTCCAGAGCCCGTGCAGTCTGTGAACCACGCAGCACCCCTTGCGCTGTGTTCTCTTTGGTGTGCCAGTGCTTGGCAGGAGCATGGAGGAGGGAAAAAACTGCACATGTTTGAAAGCTAGAGACTCTCATCAACTTGAATTTCTTTCTTTTTTTTTTTTTTTAAAGGAAAACTAAGTAATTTCAAAGAGTTTACTAATCAAGATTCTTTGGATGTGTAAGACAGGAGAGTTTATTTCTTCATAAATATATTAGGATTTTCCTGCCCTCTGCTGGAGGTTTCTTTCAGTTAGTTGTGATTCCTGTGTCTCTTTGTGGTATACAGGGAGCTGTAAAATGCCCCAAACAAGCAAGCTAGAGAAAGGAGAGAGCATTATAATAACTTAAGGGAATTTGTATAAGTTTTCAATATTCTTTCTAGTAGGTGTCAGATATTTGGACACCAGAAGATAGTTTTATACTTAAAGGAAGCATTCCCGCTGCCCTTTCTGGAAGGAGTCTGCCTCTAGCGGGGCACAGGGGACCGGAGCTCTGAGCCAGCTGAGATCAGCGCTGCGACACAGACCACAGGGAAGGTGCTGGCAGCAGGTGGAGATCTGTCCTCGCGTGCCTCATTCAGACCTCCTTCTTCCTCCACTGCACAGTAGGTGGGCAGCTCCTGCGGCCTCAGAGTCACCCTGTTGCAACAAAATACAGGCAGAGAAGAATCGAGCTCTTCTCAGGCTGTCACAGTATTTTCCTTTCTATGGATGTTTCCAGTAGCACAAATGTAAGAACGAAACAAAACAAAAAGTGGAAAAAGCTGCCTGCAATAAAAAAAAGCACCTTGCAATAATGAAAAATTTCAAAGATGCCTGGCTAAATTCTCATTTTCCAGTGTGAAGTACACATCTTCAGTACTTCTAGCCCTTTCCTTTTAGCCCAAGGGTACACTGTAGGCGGTCATTCCACGATTTTTCGTGCCTGGGGTCGAAGGCCTGGGAGCACCCTGCGGAGCACAGCGTTGTACTGACAGCTTTACGTAGCGGGTGTTCAGAGGGCAGGCTGGTTTTGTGCCGTCACTTGGAGTATTACATGGTGTGTGTAATGTGTAGATTCTGTTTGTAAGTATGAAGAGCTTGTGAATCGGTGTTTGTAAATCTCTGTTGGATGCTGTTGCCCAGGCTTCTGTAACGTGCAGATCATCGGTTTACAATAATCACCCCTTCTCTCTCCCTAGATTTTCCCCCCGGTTCAGGTTCTTCACTTGAGGTTCAAAACATTTGCTGGTCACGGTCCTGGGCTCAGCCTTGCTTACCTCAGGCAGAAGGGTGCTTTTAGTTCCAACCAATGAGAGCAGGATCTCAGTCTGCAGCAAGTTTGAAGATTCCCACAACCCTTTTGTAGCAAAATTGGCAAAATGCAGCCTCTCCCGAGCACCTGACGGGAGGTCACACCTAACAGGTCAGAGAGCTGCTCCGGGAACATGGTGATGAGCAGTTTGACCTGCGAAAACAGCAAGTCTGATAGCTCCTAGGAAAGGGTTAACCCCAGCAGGCAGCAGTCTCACTCCACAGGGTTACTTGGAGTCAAGCTCTGGAGAGGGAGCTGCTGCAGGGCTGGCTTTGGAATCAAGTGTCAGGCAGGCAGGACAGCACAGCAGGGATTTGGACAGGCTCCATGGCACTGTGCTGCTGGTTTCTGTCCCGCCAGCCAGCTATCTATCCTGACACAAGATAGCAAGGGCGCTGCAGGTGTTTGTGACAAGTACATGTGGATTTTTTTGAGCAGGGCTGGATACTTGCCAAGCTGAAGACATGGGATTAAATACAGGCTCCTCATGAAAACCACCGCAAATGAGGAGTAGGTGCTCTAAGGAGTAACCTGGGAGTTAGAGTAGCTTCTAAGCACAGACGCAGATATAACATGAAATGACAGGTTTTCTTGTTTTGTTTTATCCCTATCTGGTTCCCTGATTTCATAAGAACAAAAGTGGTTGTGGGCTTTTATTTCTTCTGACAGAGCAGTTATCCTCTCCAAGGAAGGATCCATCCATAACTTCTTTAAAATTTTATGAAGGAAAGGATAAAACAAAGCTTTGCAAAACAGAAGGATGGATAAAGATGTATTGGCGGTTGCTATTACTGCCTTTATAAAATCACAGGAAAACTGAGGTTGGAAAGGCCTTTTGGGTGGCATCTATCCTAGCCTCCAGCTCAAAGCAAGGCTGACTTCAGAGCTGCACACTGCAGTACAGGAACGTCTCCTGACATGGAAATGCAGAGACTGAAAATGGATGGGAGAAAGAATTTAGTTTACCTGTGGAATCACTGAATGATATTGAAAACTTACCAGTATTTGAAAAACAACAGGCACCTCTTGAAAAAGCCCAGCACGTTGTAGAGATGCTCCGTTACCAGGACTGCTGGCCTCTGCCTCCTGAACCACAATCCTGCTTTTTCCTCCCAAGATGACAGATTTAGTGGCAACTGCACCAACCCTTGTTTTTCCACAAAAAGTCAGGAAAAACCTACAGTTTCCTGGGAGATGGACTTGTCATCATTTGACACGTCTTACTGGAGACTCATTGGAACAAGTCTCTGCCTCTGCATTTCAGTTCTGGTGCTGGTTTGACACGGTACCGTGTGGGCAGCGTGAGCTTGGCCAACACGTTCGTGTGTTGAGTGGGACATGAGTGTACGGCACTGAATTTGCAGTGTGTGGACTATGAAGTCAGGGGAGTAAAGCCATGTTGGGGAAAATGGAAGTGGTTTGTCATGGTGGTACCAGGGGATCAAATCAGCAGTGCCTCGGGAAGGTCTGGCCTGCAAACCTCTTGGCATAGGGTTCTCCACCAGAGCGAGGTGCTGCTCTGCTGTGATGAAGGGTTTTTTCCTATCAGTAAGCCCCCTCCTGTCTCTAGCAGCTTTACACCTCAGGGACCGCCCTTGTCCAGCCAAGAGATCCTTCCAACTTGAGGACAAAAAAGCAAATTGTCCTGTAACAACAGCAGCTGCCTGTCAGAGAGGTTTGTTGTTGAAGAATCACTAGAGGTGTCTTGCACTTTGAGTGAAACAAAACAGAATCTCAGTTTGCTCTCTAGCTCCCTTTCACATGCATCTGTTGTTTAAACAAAAATAATGCTTGTTGTTTTGTTTTTTTTTTCTAAATTACAGAATGAGCTGAACATTAAGAGTGAGCTACTGAGCAAACCATAATGAGTGTGTGCTTTTTTCCTGCCTTTTAGGGATGGATTCTGAACTCCATCAGATCTGGTAAGAGTATTTTCTTGCCTGAACACTCCCCCCCAGGATCTCTGACTGCAGGAGGGTGGGCTGTGGGTGCAGAAAGGCAAAAACCACTGTCCAGCTAGATAATAATTTTTACTGTAAGGATACAGAAGGCACGGGGGTCCTCGTGTTGCTGGAGAATTTACTAGGAGAGGTGTTGAGACTGCAGCTGGAGTTCCAGCTGGGTCTCTCCACCACCTGGAACGTGGGGTTTCACGCTTTGAGGGAACTCGCTAAAATGGCATTTGTGGCCTTAATTTAGGAGAGCTGGTCCCTCTGGAGGGGGAACATAGAGCAAGAGGTTGAAATGAGGATGAGGTGCAACAGTTCATTGAATACAGGGTCCTCAGGACAATCGGTCCCTTCTGGCTGAAAAGCTCGGGGGCAGAGGATCATCACGGGGCACAGTTTGTGGTCGAGAACAGGGGTGTGGAGAGAAATCAGCAATATTACTGCTTTTTACGTACTTGGGGAAGTGAAAACTGTGAGGAGCTTCCACTCACCGCAGGATTTCTGCTGACTTCCGCAGGATCAGGGTATCAGATCACCTTTTCTGTCTGAGCAGGTGGATGCGCTGTGGTCAAAGGCGTCAGGATTTCTAGCTAAGGGAGAAGCACACACACACAAAAAAAAAGGTATTGGTGAAACTGGTTTAATAGGATTTTTTTCTTAAACAAATTCAGTTGGGCACTGCTAGGTCCGCTGGTCACTCACACGAGGAGCCAAGGGGGTGTTCCTTGGTTCCGCGGCTGCTGTTGGCAACGCAGAGATACCCGGTGTGGTTCCTGTTGCCCCGGGACAGGGAGTGCTTGGGCAGCGGCGTGCCATCACTTTCTACAGACCGAAGTGCAATTGTGTACATTGCCTTAGGACTGTGTATAATTCCTGTGGTTTGATGTTTGTGTTTGGTGGAAACAGTGTCTGGAATTCATCTACTTAATTTTATAGAGGTGTCCATTGTTCCTTTTTTTTTTTGTTGTTGTTGTTATTAAACATTTGTTTGTCTTCATCAACTGAAAGCTACAGTGGAACAGATAAGTCTGTACTGACATGCTTAAAAGATCTTTTAATAAAGAATTGGCTTCTAGAGTTGGGTCACTACAAGTGGATT